GATCTGACTGAATGTGTAAGAGATTCCCAAGGTCCGCCTAGATCATCATCATGATCATGTGGACGATTAACAGTGAAGCCCGGCAATAAACCAATTGACCACACTTATCTGAATCCCTGGTTTCTTGAACTTGCTGAATATTCAGTCACTGTGTTGTTACGTTGAAGACAGCCCCACACTAGACACTCAAACACTGGTGATACACCCAAGCTCCTGGAGAGGATCTCGGGTACCAAGTCAATCAAAAATGATGGTGAAGGTACAACACCCATTATGTTGTCCATAGACCAACTGGAGGATTTCCCTAATGGATGACAAAAGTTTGGTTTACAATTGGATGCCCACCACTGGCTTGGACATTGGTGACTTCCTTGTAGGTGTTTTTGTGGACTGCTGATTCACTGCCTGGCCTCCAAGGAGATACCAGCCTGTATCAAGAAGGAACTCAGAATTAGCAGTCATCTCAGGGGTCACATGTCAAGCTCAGTTTATTAACATCCACATTAGTAATCATTCAGAGGAGAGTTTTCAGGATAATGAGACAGTATAAGTCTCTAAATATCATCTCTGTTGTTCAGTCAGTAACAGGGACAAGAGACGAGTAGCAGAGTAGAGACAGATAGACTCTATCAAACATAGAATATCAACTCTCCTCGCCCACCTCTGCACTTGTAGATGTACATCCCATCTCTCTCTCTCACATATATATATTTTATACCTCCACATTCTGCCCACTGCACACCCAGTATTGTTGTGCTAAAAAAAAACCCTCTAACGTCACAGTGCCTAGCTGGCTAAAGTGTGACCCAGTTAAATATGTCCGCTATTTGACACAAACTCTGTCGGCTGGTTAGAGAATAATTAACTTGCTGAGTTTAATATATTTATAATGGTGTGGGTCAGGTAGGGCACAAACTATTAGCCTGCGAAGGGAAAGGTTTGATTTCAGGGGCTTGAGTGTCTGGACACCAAAAACGGCCTAGTTCTGTGCGGTCACACAGCTGAATCTTTCCTCCCTGCAGCAGCGGCTAACTTTATAGAGACATATATCATGGTACTTGTAAACTATAATCAACTTACCCAGGCTTAGGAATCCTTCAAAGATTAAACTGGTATTTTGAATGCGCCAAGATTTAATCAGAGAGGTGACATACTTCTGCACACCTAGGAAGTCAGGCAAAGAATGACCCAGCCTAATCTCGCTTTGCGTCTCTAGAAAAAAAAATGTCCCATACAAGTACACTAAGGAGTAAAAAGGTTTCCAGGAATTCGGAATATTACTCCAGAAAATATATATCCCACAGTTGCAAGTTTGAAAATGTAGACTTTTCAAAACAACTAGAGGGTATAGAAATATCTATTCCACCAGATAGAGGTATATATCAAAATAATTGATTATATACCCACCGGACGGGTTTAAATTTGAAATGTGACCTGCCCGCCAGGGGCGTCAACGTCACGACGAGTCTACTGTGCAGGGTTTAGTTGATTCACCTCTTGACATAAGCTTAGCTTCAGGTTTGACAAAAATCCCATTGGCAACCCTCCCATGCTTGGCTGTCCGCGTGTGGCTGCTATAGATCCATTTCTTACATTCAATGCTGGGTGGACATGGGAGCCATGGTCATTTTTGAAAGAAAAGTAAATCCGACCTGACATGATTCCCAGAAATGAACACACCTGCTGTGTTTGCCCTGTTGTTAACACTGTCACCGACCTATTATGAAAACAGGCCGTGTACTACCAGTGGGCTCATGTTTTCTTCTACCATATAGAACGGAGAGTTGGGGGAGGGGCAGTAGAAGATTGAGAGAAAGTTGAGAAAGAGAGGGAGCAGGAGGAGGAGAGAGGAATTTAAAAAAAAACAGAGACTAAGAAAAGCAAGTCGACACTGAGACATGGGGATAAAGAAAGAAGAGGAAAAAGAAAGAAAGAAGAGGAGAGATACCACGGAAAGAAGGTAGCAGGAAGGGGATGCGGCCATCCCGGTATCATCACTGTGGGGGAGGGGGGGGGGAACAACCACCCTAGGTGTCATTACTGTGCGGAGAAAGACCACCCCGGGTGACATCGCTGTTGCAAAAAGGGGGGAGGGGGGGGGGGTTCCGGTATTTGTTAATTAGGTCACGTCAACTGACATTTGCACATTTATATGATCTTTATGTTCGCCTTGCCAGGTCACACAATATGATATGTTTTAAGCCAGGCTCGCTGGCAGACAACTGTAAATGTATCAGGTTTTTGATGAAAAATAAATCAGCCTGAAGACATTTTCCTATGTTAAATAGGCTCATATCGTAGTGTATGTAATTGAGACATGCATAAACGGTTAGGTCTCACTGTCCCGATTCTAGCAATACATGGTTGCTAAGGGATTCGTTCAAAAACAAAAAAGTTATGGCCGTAAAATCAAACATTGAGTCATTTCATCTCACTGGGTCGCAGCCGGAAGCCATATTTCATGGATTTCCACTACAATTTTTCTGTCGTGGGGTCCGCCACTAAAATGTTAATATCTCCGCTTAGAATCGACTTACAGGCTTAAATGAGGTACCATTGGATTTGTAATTTTAATTTTCATCTAGCTGTTACAATTTCGTGAGTAAAAACACAAAAAATAAAACTTCACTACCATCCCTATAGTCATGTATAGAACCCCCTCTACGTGGACGCTCCTACAGTAAAACATGTAATTTTAGCGCATTGGGCCCTGGTCACAACACGATGTAACCCTGTTTCTTTCATGTGGTTACTGGTCTTCTGAACCGAAAATGACGCGGGAAAACAAGACCGTCACGACTCTGCGCAGAGTGGCTTAATTTTGCCTGCGTCTGAACGTTGCCATAGTGACGGACCAAACTTTAAGGGGACTTTCAACATTTATGGTATGTAGCAAAAAACAGCAGAGTGAGAAAAAACAGGATCTTTAGGCGCATTGCATAGTTGGGTTTGATCTAAGCATTTATCTCTCCATTCTATAACCACGATGCATGTTTCTTGTTGTCTTGGATATACTGTTAGCCTTACAATGGAAACCATGGCTGTAACAAGGGCATTAGCATGGTTTGGTACTCAAAAGTTCACACACGTTTGCATTCTTAGTGAACATGCTTAAAAATTATCGAAGCTGAATTTATCAGGCAAGAATGGATTGCAACACTAATCACTTTACGAATATCTGCCTAAACATTCATCTTTGTGCCAGGTCATGAGAGTGCTCAAGGAAACGAGTGTGCAGACTGTCTTGCTGACACTGCGGTTGCTATGGCTGGTTCAGTACTGGACAGAAGTGATGTTATCAATGCCATGCGCTGCACTTACCGTACCGTGGAGCACGCCAAAGGACATGACTCCGTATCCCTTGATTCTATGACAGGTACCGTAAATCTGGGAGAAATGTGGCTTTTTTGCCTACCCCCGGGGAGAACCTTGATCACAAGGAGTTCATCACCCGGTCTCCGCGAAGTCAGGTTTAACCAACTACGCTAGCGTAGAATGTGTAAAAAGAAACAGTTCTTTAATAAAATGGGAGCCGTTGTGGTGTAGATGTTAGCCTGCGTATCTAAAGGTGAGAGGGTGTGTGTGTGTGTGTGTGTGTGTGTGTGTGGGGGGGGGGGAAGGGGAAGGTTCAGGTTCTGAACCAGGAAAATAGGCATCAGGTGAAGTGCTGGGATATAAAGGCGGCCGACGTGATTCTGACCACATCACCCACCCCCTACAGATTTACAGAGAAATTGCCAACCAACCCTCCTCCAATGACTTCTAGAGAATGGCCAAACAACCAATTGGCAACTCCCGCACAGATTTTTAAAGAATGTCTTCCCAACCGATTAGCCACTCCCTCACAGACTTTTAGAGAATGTCTAACCAACCATTTGGCTATTTCCTAACACACTTCTTGAGAATATGCAACCAACCAATCGGGGACTCCCTCTCAGACTTTTAAAAAATATCCAACCAACCAGTCACCCACTCCCTCACTGACTTCTAGAGAATGTCTAACCAACCAATAAGCCACTCGTGTCTTCTCAGACTTCTAGAGAATGTCCAACCAATCATCAACTCCTTCACATACTTACTGAGAATTTCCAGACAGGAAATCACCCACTGCCTCACAGACTTCTGGATAATGTCTAAACACCCAATCGCCCACTTCCTCACATATGTCTAGAGAATATCCAAACAACCAATCCCCCACATCCTTATCGACTTACAGAGCATGTCCAACCAACCAATCTCATACAAGTATTACGCACATTACCAAAAAAAAAAAAAAAAAACCTAACAAGAGGTTTTGTTGTAATAATTAAATTCTGTTTTATTACAGACTTTAATAACTTTAAATTATTGCCACAAAACCAGTTGTAACACTTTGTTGTGTATTCCGGACAGTCGGTAAGTAAGCAAGAACAATTGATAGGAACATCACCAAAAAAAAAACAAAAAAAAAAAAAACCTTAAAATTTCAGTAATAGCCAAAGTGAGTAATTGTATAGATTTTGTAAAATACGAAGATATTGTGATAAAAATTTTAGAAGGAAGGGGTCATCACTGTTTCTGGCCAGAGAAGGAGAAGGATAAGAAGGCTAAAGGATATGTGTATAGTATTTTATACTTTTTTTAGATGTTAAAATTATGTGTTTTGTAGTTAACGCTCCTGAAAGAAATTACAATTGTATGTAAAGAATGGACATTTCCTAGAGATCGACTTACATGCATAAAACCTTAACCAAGATATTACAGCTGTGCACGCATAACTGTGTGCCTTTCCAAGACTTTACATGTGTGTGTATATAAATTTAGATTTTTCAAAGAACATTGGAGTTATGGGTGATATAAATGTACTGTTTTCCGAGAGACTACAATAACGTGTGTATAATATTGCACTTCTCAAAGGCATTATTTGCAGGAATGTTGCATTTCAAAGTTCTCCACGTCATGACATCTAAAGGTGGCATTAAAGTGTCGACCGACAAAGGTCCTGAATTCTTGTGTTGTTTCTAATTCTTGCATTCGTATTCCGTAATGCCACTATCATCTACCATGCAGGTACATTTATGGTACACCCGGCCATCTACAAAGTAGCTGAACTTGCTGCCTAGGTCGTGACATGAGCCATACAAGTCTGCACACTCTGTGAGATGGTAAAAGTTGTAAATGTCAGCTTTTTGTTTAGTGTTTATCCTGCTGTTCCTTTTCTCTCTTCGTTTTTTTTCCTTCTCTTTGTCATCATTATCATCATCATCATTATCATCTTCATCATCAACATCATTTTCTTTCTTCTTCTTCTTCTTTTTCTTCTTCTTCTTCTTCTTCTTCTTCTTCTTCTTCTTCTTCTTCTTCTTCTTCTTCTTCTTCTTCTTCTTCTTCTTCTTCTTCTTCTTCTTCTTCTTCTTCTTCTTCTTCTTCTTCTTTTATCTTCTTCTTCTTCTTCTTCTTCTTCTTCTTCTTCTTCTTCTTCTTCTTCTTCTTCCTTCTTCTTCTTTCTTCTTCTCTTCTTCTTCTTCTTCTTTCTTCTTCTTCTTCTTCTTCTTTCTTCTTCTTCTTCTTCTTCTTCTTCTTCTTCTTCTCTTCTTCTTCTTCTCTATTCTTCTTCTTCTTCTTCTTCTTCTTTGTTTGTTTGTTGTTTGTTTGTTTGTTGTTTGTTTGTTTGTTTCATTGTTTCTTTCTTTCTTTCTTTCTTTCTTCTTTTCTCTTCTTTCTTTCTTTCTTTCTTCTTTTCTTTTCTTTCTTTCTTTCTTTTCTGCCTTTCTTTCTTTCTTTCCTTTCTTTCTTTCTTTCTTTCTTTCTTTCTTTCTTCTTCTCTCTTTCTTTCTTTCTTCTTCTTCTTTCTTTTCTTTCTTTCTTTCTTTTCTTTCTTTTCTTTCTCTTCTTCTTCTTTCTTTCTTTTCTTTCTTCTCTTTCTTTCCTTCTTTTCTTTCTTTCTTTCTTTCTTTTCTTTCTTTCTTCTTTTTTCCTTCTTTCTTCTTTTTCTTTCTTTTTCTTTTTTTCTTTCTTTCTTTCTTTCTTTCTTCTTTTCTTTTTCTTTCTTTCTTTTCTTTCTCTTTCGTTCCTTTTTTCTTTCTTTCTTTTCTTTTCTTTCTTCTTCTTTCTTTCTTTCTTTCTTTTCTCTCTTTTTCTTTCCTTTCACTTTCTTTCTTCTTTCTTTCTTTTCTTTTGTTTGTTTGTTCTTTTCTTTCTTCTTCTTTTGTTTCTTACTTTCTTTCTTTCTTTCTTTCTTTCTTTCTTTTCTTTCTTTCTTTTTCTTTCTTTCTTTCTTTCTTTCTTCTTTCTTTCTTTCTTTCTCTCTTCTCTTTTTCTTTCTTTCTTTCTTTCTTCTTTCTTTTCTTCTTTCTTTCTTTTCTTTCTTTCTTTCTTTCTTTCTTTCTTTCTTTCTCTTTTCTTTCTTTATCCTGCTTCTTAATTCTTCTCCTTCTTCGTCGTGTTCTTTCTCTTTGTCTTCATCTATCATCATTATCTTCTTTTTTTATCTTCAATATCATAATCTTTTTTCTTCTTCTTTTCTCTTCTTCTTTTCTTCTTCTTCTTCTTTTCTTCTTCTTCTTTCTACATTCATTCTTCTTCGTCTTCTTCTTCTTTCTTCTCTTCTTCGATTCTTTCCTTCTTCTTCATCCTCTTCTTCTTTCTTTCTTTCTTCTTCTGTTCTCTTCTTCTTCTTCGTTTCTTTCTTTCTTTCTTTTCTTCTTCTTCTTTTTCTTTCTTCTTCTTTCTTCTTCTTCTTTCTTCTTTTCTTCTTTTTCGTCCTTCTTCTTCTTCTTCTTCTTTCTTCGTCTTTTTTCTTCTTTTCCTTTCTTCTTTTCTTTCTTTCTTTCTTTTACTTTTTCTTTCTTTCTTCTTTTCTTTTTCTTTCTTTCTTCTTTCTTTCTTTCTTTTTTTCTTTCTTTCTTTTCTTTTCTTTCTTTCTTTCTTTCTTTTGTTTCTTTCTTCTTTTCTTTCTTTTCTTTCTTCTTCTTTCTTTCTTTCTTTCTTTCTTTCTTTTCTTTCTTTCTTTCTTCTTTCTTTTCTTTCTTTCTTTCTTCTTTTCTTTCTTTCTTCTCTCTTTTCTTTCTTTCCTCTTTCTTCTTTCTTCTTCTTTCTTCTTCTTCTTCTTCTTCTTCTTTCCTCTTCTTCTTCTTCTTCTTCTTTTCTTCTTCTTTCTTCTTCTTCTTCTTTCTTCTTCTTCTCTCTTCTTCTTCTTCTTCTTCTTCTTTCTTCTTCTTCTTTTCTTCTCTTTCTTTCTTCTTCTCCTTTTCTTTTCTTCTTCTTCTTCTTCTTCTTCTTCTTCTTTCTTCTCTTTCCTTTTTCTTCTTTTTCTTCTTCTTCGTTGTCTTTCGCTTTCTTTCGTTTCTTTCTTTCTTCTTCTTCTTCTTCCCTGACTTCTTCTTCTTCTTCTACTTCTTCTTCCTTCTTCTCTTTTCTCTCTTCTTCTTTCTTCTTCTTCTTCTTCTTCTTCTTTCCCCTTTTCTTCTTTTTCTTCTTCTTCTTCTTCTTCTTCTTCTTCTTCTTCTTCCTTCTTCTTCCTTCTTCTTGTCTTCTTCTTTTTTTCTTTTCTTCTTCTTCTTCTTCTTCTTCTTCTTCTTTTTCTTCTCCTTCTTCTTCTTCGTCCCTGATATTGTTTAGACGCGACTGTTGCTACCAGGTCGACATAGCCTGAAATGCGTTATAGGAAAACTCCTGAGAAGTTAAGGTGGTCGGTGTGATGTTAACCACTTCACTTACTAAGGGCTGTTCAGTCTTTGAACAAATCTGAGTCTAGGCTATATGCCTGATGCGCCACTGATGTGGGCAAGGACCCATACAGAGTGGCAAGCATCGTTTCAGAGGTTACGGATTTTTCTCCAGGCCATGCATGAGTGTTGGGAAATGAATAGGCGGACAGCCTAGCTGGTTCTGCACCAATGAAGACGTACCAATCGGTCATCATGGTCTGGGGAGAAAGGTGCGGCGGGAAGTGACCGGAGGAACTCGTCGTCACTCTACACTCAGAGAACAGGCAAGACGGATATATCAAGAGACTGCCATCAGAAACATCGGGAGCTGTCGTGTTGTATCAGCTAGAGGCTTGCCTGCGGATGCGAAGATCATGGTTTCGGGTCCCGTTGGAGCTGGACTTAATTGTTTTTCGTTTTTGTTAAACATCTTTGCTTCCAGGTTGCTTCCAGTTTTAAGCTATGACCGTCTCCAGCTCACAGGCCATGCTGCTGACGTCACCGGGTCGGGCTAACGACGCGTTAACGCAGCGGTTCGCAAACAAGAAAAAAATTCACAATTTTCAGCCGACATTTCTTGATTATTATGTGGGGCCTCTGGCAAACGCTTACGGCACCCCTGGGTGCCTCCGTACCCAGTTTAGGAACCGCTGCTTTAACGAATCATTAGTCTCCCCCCCCCTCCCCCCGGTGACGTCAGAAGCACGTCCTGGTCGTGACTAAGCCTTGAGTAATAAAGAGAAGTAATCGGTGTCGAGTAATGCTGACGCCCCCACCATCACAGTCCGTAAAATTTAGGTCTAGCCCTATATGCCCAATACAGCCGAGGGCGTGGAAACGGTTTCTTTGCTAGTAACACTGGAATACGGCTCCCGTGGCTCAAGCGTTGTGAGTCCGATTCGTAATTCCAAAGTACCGTGATCGAAACCCACTGCTGGCTGCGTGGATTTTTATTATAGTATAGGGCGTCGCAGGTCGACCCAGCTTAAAATTTGTACCAGGATGTGTGTTTTGGGGAAGTAAAGACGGCCGGCAAAATTTTGACCACATTACCCACCTGGTGCTGATTCGTCTGTAAAAAAATGGGTGCTCTTTCCATATGCCCGATGCGCCTAAATGCGTGACAAGGGATCTTTATTTTTTTTTTCTTCAAACAATAAAACTGAAACTTTTCACTGGCTGCTGAAGACGAGAACGGGGCGCTTATGAGGAAAAAAAAAGGTAACATACTTTTATCGATCACCGTCGCCGTATATTTGTTTCTGCCTAACTCGTAACTTTTGATGCACTTCAATGTCACACAGCCACTGCGGAATGTGGAATCCACGGGCCAACACCGGTCTTTGTGGTGGCAACCTAAAATCACAGACATCAAATAATCACACATGTATGGGCGCTGACAGAAAGAAAACATTGCGGAAAGGTGTGTGTGTGTGTGTGTGTGTGTGTGTGTGTGTGGGCGTGGGGGGGGGGGCTTAACGGGCCTAACCATTGTTTAAATTAATTCCGTCAACAGGTCCTTCACAAGAAGTCACCTTTGTCAAGGCACGATTAAAAATCACTCTCTCTTTCTCTAATAAATTCTCCATCTCTATGTCTTTCAAAGCCAATGCATCCTTTTTATTGAGATACTACACCTAATTCATTACAGTTTTCGGTGCTTTATTAATATCCTACCCTAAACAGGAAAAACTCACAGGTCACGGGACAGTCTAATATTTCAGGGGGTGGTAGATAGGCTGCATGCTGTCGTGGGACCTAGGCTGCACTTTTCTCGTGGGACGTAGGTGGGTTGGGATTAGGGCCAGTTCTAGATGTTTTGGGGTCGTTAAAAGCATCATAAAGCCGGGAAACCCAGCCTGACCACCCTCTAAAATGTTGAACTGTCCTGTGACATCGTCTGGGGGTAGATTATTAAAAACGCACCCAGTTCTCTAGGACCACCATGACATTTGATGCGTCCAAAATGCTTCAGCTTTCGCCAGAGGATGCTGGTTATGAGCCAGTTCTCTTTGATATTGAGGTCATGCAGAATGTCGACGTGTTTCATCTTCTTTGTCCACGGTATTCAAACAGTTTTCTGTAGCATTTCAGTTCAGAAGTTCGGATATTTTTCTTCTTCAAACACTGCATGATATTCAACGACTCACATGCATAAGTTGTCACAGGAAAAATGCATAAGCTCAAAATGTTTAATTTAAACAAAAATCCACCACGTTCAACCTATTGCGAGCAGTTTCGGCTATAACTGTGGTCTGCTTTCTTTGGGACAAGTATGCTGGGTAAGAATTGGTAATTACACTAACACGAATTGCTTGGACGGTTACTCTAGTAGATGAAAGTTGAAAAGATCGAAATAAAAGGGGTGGGGTGGTTAGGGGGGTGGTGAGACTGATTTGCACAATTATCGGCACTCTCGTGCATTTTAACTCTAGTTCTGAACGAAAGATTTTTGAGGCGATGGGAGTTGTTCACGTGTATAAAAGCTCAGGTGCCGTTGAATTCTAGTGCCGACGGAAGATTTTTGAGGCGATGGGAGTTGTTGTCCACGTGTATATAAACTCTGGTACCGTTGAATTCTAGTGCCGACGGAGGATTTTTGAGGCGATGGGAGTTGTTGTTGTTCACGTGTATGTAAACTCTGGTGCCGTTGAATTCTAGTGCCGACGGAGGATTTTTAAGGCGATGGGAGTTGTTGTTGTTCACGTGTATGTAAACTCTGGTGCCGTTGAATTCTAGTGCCGACGGAGGATTTTTGAGGCGATGGGAGTTGTTGTCCACGTGTATATAAACTCTGGTACCGTTGAATTCTAGTGCCGACGGAGGATTTTTGAGGCGATGGGAGTTGTTGTTGTTCACGTGTATGTAAACTCTGGTGCCGTTGAATTCTAGTGCTGATGGAAGATTGTTTTATAATCTTTATTTATTCAGTACGGCCAAGCCAAACGGCTAGGAACGTTGAGCTCTAACGCGGGAGAATAGTAAGGGAAAAAAAAAAAAAAATCCCCGCCTGCACAGTCCGTGGCTCCAGCACTAACCATGCAAACCTCCCCCGACACTCCCAACACCAATCTCTGCTTGCATCTGCAAATGTGGTAATGGCAGTTTGTGGGGTGTGTGTGTGAGAGTGTGTGTGTGAGTGTGTGTGAGTGTGAGTGTGTGTGTGAGAGTGTGTGTGAGTGTTTGTGAGTGTGTAAGAGTGTGTGTGTGAGTGAGTGTGTGAGTGTGTGTGAGAGTGTGTATGTGAGAGTAAGTGTGTGAGAGTGTGGAAAAACAGAGGGAGGTCAGTTTTTTTTTGAAATTTCGACCGAACATCCTGAATGCACTTCGAACCACCCAGTTCATAACTCTCTTTAGAACTTAATACGCATTCATGATGATGATGATGATAGTGATAGTAATAACAACAACAATAATGTACTAAATTGCAAATCCCGTATAGAAATCAGAGCTTGTTTGTCTTGAAGTCGGAGTGCGTCTGCTTGAGATAAGATAACCAACAGTCTGCATAAAAGTTAGCTAGCATGTAAAACGGATATGCACGCAGATGTCAAGTTCCGGAACACTCCAAAAGGCCGGAAATGAGCGAACAACACAGAACTTTCCAGGGTTTACAACCGATGAGCGCTATGAAGGAAGAAGAATCGCAAATAATTATGTTAATAATATAAAAATATGTATAAAAGAATAAAACATCTATAAACAACTTGGGGGAGTCGCTCTGGTGTTGGCGGCCAGACGCCCGTCTGCGGATCGCAGGGGGGCAGTCCTGGGAATTCCTGCTGACCATATCACACCCCAAATGCCGATTGGTCCATAAAAATTTAGGTCAAGCCCTATATTTCCAATACGCCTAAAAGGTGTGGAAAAGAGACCTTTTTAAACAAAAACTTGAAAGGAGAACTTCTGTACACGATTGGGGTCAGAGAGACCAGGAGAGGATGGGGGAGGGGTGGGAGGGGGGGGGGGGGTGGCTTTTGTCCTTCTTACACAACTGTATTTTTTGGGGTAAAGGGAAAAGGGAGAGGGGGGAGGTGATATGTGAAGCTTAGTTTCTTCTTAACCAACTTTCCTTAGCTGGGAAACAGTATCTCATCGAATAGAAATGTAGTAGCTGAAATTAAGCAGAGAACTGCAAAGGCAAATGCTTCTTTCCGCAGACTTTAGGTGTCTGGAGATCAAACATCTACAGCACGAACACTAAACTCAGGATACACAAAACATGCGTTGTTGTTGTTATCGATCCAGCGGCGCATGAGCTTTCGCCCTTTGGCCCAATGCCATGTAGTGGAATTTGCATGTTTTCACAAGCTGTTCTTTTCCTCCGTACAAGGTGTTCCACTTGTCTGGTCTCGGAGGGAGTAGCGTTCTTCTTGTCTCACTGAGTTTTGGGCTCTCAAAGAGATGGTGTTCAACAGTTTTGTAGGGGTAGTTGCATAGCTGGCACTCTGGGGAGTGTTGTGGCTGTATTCTGTTTAGGTGTCCATTGAGTGGAGTATGTTGCGTTCTAAGTCTGAAGATGGTGGCCCGGTCCCTTCTTGTTAGATGGTTAATGCTGTCATTAGGATCAGGGCCAGACATATGTCTATAAACCTCTCTTCCAGTGTCTCCCATGGCCCATCTGTTCAACCAAGTCTCTTTGTTTATAGCTCTTATCAGTGTTTTTGCTGTCTGGAGGGTTGTCGCTGTAGGTGGTTGTTCTTGTGTTGCTCCTTTCTTTGCCAATCTGTCAGCTCTGTCATTACCTGGTGTGCTGGAGTGACCTGGAATCCACTGCATCACTATTCTGATGTTGTATGAGGTAATAAGAAAACATGCGTTAGGACAGTTCTCCTTTATAGAGCAGAAACTCTGAAAACAGACAGAAAGATCAAGAGCATGCTCAGATGTGTTGAGGAAAAACTTCTCAGAAGACTGTTGGGGTTCACATGGTGAGATAGATACAACAATTCTGTATTACAACAAATGACAGACTTAGAAGATGTAAATTTATAAATCAAAAAACGAATATATAGATAGATTGGACACGTCTTCAGAATGAAGAAAGAGAGACGGCCGAGACAGGCAAGGTAATGGACACCACAAGAACAACGACAAAGAGGCAGGCCTAGAGGCACTTAGAGGCGAACCTTCAAGGCTGAACTTGAGGCTACGCGAAGAACAAAACTGGAGATAGAGATTATAGCTCAGGGTTGAATTGAGTGGCGACAGTTTGTCTCTGCCTTATGTGCCTCTTGGCGCGACGAGGATTGATTGATTAAGTACTTCTTAAATAGTTGTATTTGTGTATGCAGGTGTATGTGTGCATGTGTTTGAGTGTGTGTGTGTGCATGTGTATGTGTGCAGATGTTTGAGTGTGTGTGTGCATATGTTTGAGTGTGTGTGTGCATGTGCATGTGTGCATATGTTTGAGTGTATGTGTGCATATGTTTGAGTGTGTGTGTGCATGTGTTTGTGTGCATATGTTTGAGTGTGTGTGTGCATGTGTATGTGTGCATATGTTTGAGTGTATGTGTGCATATGTTTGAGTGTGATGTGTGCATGTGTATGTGTACATATGTTTGAGTGCGTGTGTGCATGTGTATGTGTGTATATGTTTGAGTGTGTGTGTGTGCATGTGTTTGAGTGTGTGTGTGCATGTGTATGTGTGCATATGTTTGAGTGTATGTGTGCATATGTTTGAGTGTGTGTGTGCATGTGTTTGTGTGTGTGTGTGCATGTGTATGTGTGCATATGTTTGAGTATATGTGTGCATATGTTTGAGTGTGTGTGTGTGTGCATGTGTATGTGTGCATATGTTTGAGTGTGTGTGTGCATGTGTTTGTGTGCACCTGTTTGAGTGTGTGTATGTATGTGTATGTGTGCATATGTTTGAGTGTGTGTGTGCATGTGTTTGTGTGCATATGTTTGAGTGTCTGTGTGCATGTGTTTGTGTGCATATGTTTGAGTGTGTGTGTGCATGTGTTTGTGTGCATATGTTTGAGTGTCTGTGTGCATGTGTTTGTGTGCATATGTTTGAGTGTGTGTATGTATGTGTATGTGTGCATATGTTCGAGTGTCTGTGTGCATGTGTATGTGTGCATATGTTTGAGTGTGTGTGCATGTGTTTGTGTGCACCTGTTTGAGTGTGTGTATGTATGTGTATGTGTGCATATGTTTGAGTGTGTGTGTGCATGTGTTTGTGTGCATATGTTTGAGTGTCTGTGTGCATGTGTTTGTGTGCATATGTTTGAGTGTGTGTATGTATGTGTATGTGTGCATATGTTTGAGTGTGTGTGTGCATGTGTTTGTGTGCATATGTTTGAGTGTCTGTGTGCATGTGTTTGTGTGCATATGTTTGAGTGTGTGTGTGCATGTGTTTGTGTGCATATGTTCGAGTGTGTGTGTGCATGTGTATGTGTGCATATGTTTGAGTGTGTGTATGTATGTGTATGTGTGCATCTGTTTGAGTGTGTGTATGTATGTGTATGTGTGCATCTGTTTGAGTGTGTGTATGTATGTGTATGTGTGCATCTGTTTGAGTATGTGTATGTAAGTGTGTATGTATGTGTATGTGTGCATATGTTTGAGTGTGTGTATGTATGTGTATGTGTGCATATCTTTGAGTGTGTGTATGTATGTGTATGTGTGCATATGTTTGAGTGTGTGTATGTATGTGTATATGTGTTTGAGTGTGTGTGTGCATGTGTATGTGTGCATCTGTTTGAGTGTGTTTATGAATGTGTATGTGTGCATATGTTTGAGTGTGTGTATGTATGTGTATATGTGTTTGAGTGTGTGTGTGCATGTGTATGTGTGCATCTGTTTGAGTGCGTGTGTGCATGTGTATGTGTGCATCTGTTTGAGTGTGTGTATGTATGTGTATGTGTGCATATGTTTGAGTGTGTGTGTGCATGTGTTTGTGTGCATATGTTTGAGTGTCTGTGTGCATGTGTTTGTGTGCATATGTTTGAGTGTGTGTGTGCATGTGTTTGTGGGCATATGTTCGAGTGTGTGTGTGCATGTGTATGTGTGCATATGTTTGAGTGTGTGTATGTATGTGTATGTGTGCATCTGTTTGAGTGTGTGTATGTATGTGTATGTGTGCATCTGTTTGAGTGTGTGTATGTATGTGTATGTGTGCATCTGTTTGAGTGTGTGTATGTATGTGTGTATGTATGTGTATGTGTGCATATGTTTGAGTGTGTGTATGTATGTGTATGTGTGCATATCTTTGAGTGTGTGTATGTATGTGTATGTGTGCACCTGTTTGAGTGTGTGTATGTATGTGTGCATATGTTTGAGTGTGTGTGTGCATGTGTTTGTGTGCATATGTTTGAGTGTGTGTGTGTGCATGTGTTTGTGTTCATATGTTTGAGTGTGTGTGTGCATGCGTTTGTGTGCATATGTTTGAGTGTGTGTGTGTGCATGTGTATGTGTGCATATGTTTTAGTGTGTGTATGTATGTGTATGTGTGCATCTGTTTGAGTGTGTGTATGTATGTGTGCATCTGTTTGAGTGTGTGTATGTATGTGTATGTGTGCATCTGTTTGAGTGTGTGTAGGTATGTGTATGTGTGCATATGTTTGAGTGTGTGTATGTATGTGTATGTGTGCATGTGTTTGAGTGTGTGTATGCGTATGTGTGCATGCGTTTAAGTGTGTTTATGCATGTGTATGTGTGCATATGTTTGAGTGTATGTATGCATGTGTATATGTGTTTGAGTGTGTGTATGCATGTGTATGTGTGCATCTGTTTGAGTGTGTGTATGAATGTGTATGTGTTCATCTGTTAAAGTGTGTTTATGCATGTGTATGTGTGAATGTGTATGTGTGCATCTGTTTGAGTGTGTGTGTGTGTGTGTGTGCCTGTGTATGTGTGCATCTGTTTGAGTGTGTGTATGCATGTGCATGTGTGCAAATGTTTGAGTGTGTGTATGCATGTGTATGTGTGCAAATGTTTGAGTATGTGTATGCATGTGTATGGCTGGTGGGGGGGGGGGGTGCAGATTAGTCAATCTTTTAGAGTTTTGTATGTGTGTGTGAGTGTGAGTGTGTGTGTGTGTGAGTGTGAGAGAGTGTGTGTGTAAGTGTGGAGAGTGAATGTGTGTTAGAGAGAGAGAGTGTGTGTGAGTGTATGTGTGAAAGTGTATGTATGTGAGAGAGTGTGTGTGTGAGAGAAAAAATATGTGTATCTGAGTGTGTGATTGTGTGTGTTTGAGTGTGTGCGGTGGTGGGAGATGGAAAAGGAGTTAAAATAGCTAACTTTTGTGTGATGCAAGAGTTAATTGTAAAACGCAAAGGTTAGTTGCGTATCCTTTGCAGGCCGTTGCAGAACTAACCCCAGCAGCCCTCGGCTGTTGTGTGGTTTCTCTAGGCAAGTTTAGGTTACATGATAGGGCAGACGTGTGGGAGAGCGTGTGCGATGCGGAGGAGCAGATGGATCACCACAGTCTGGTGAGATTGATGCAGTTAGGGGGTGACGAGAGGTTCTGGCAGAAGCTCAAGGCTCAGAGGAAAGGCAAGACGGACGTTTAATCAGAAAGCTACTGGCACCATTAGTATCGGAACTCTTCGCTGGCTGCTGAAGATAGGGACGGAGCGCTTATGGGAATGCCCCGAGTGCTGTGATGTCGTTTCTTGAATCAAATCAAATAAAATGTAGGCAAATTTACGTCCAGTAGTTTGCCATTGCTGTCTGGACGGTCAGCCCCCTGATACCACTGACGAAACCAACGAAAGGCGCATGGCCCGCAGCTGGGATCGAACCCGGCATCCCGTCATTACCAAGCGTTCGCATCGATTTAGCCACAGAGCCGACTGTAAAGCGCAAACAACAACTTGGCTTGGCTTTTTATACCCCACCAGGACATCACACAAGCGATAAACACCCGATGACACAAAGTGCCACCATGCGGATGAGGATCACCGTGGAGAGGTCCCAGAAACCGCGTTCAGACATTTGGCCATAATGATGACCTGCCTATATTGCGGCCCCTGGCAAAAGCCAGAGTGGGGCTTCAAATAACAAAAAATAACGTCCTAAGAAGGACGTACGACTAGTAATTAACAACAACTTGAATAGATAGCTTTTAAATATAGTTACTGAGGGCTGGGAGGGGACAGTTCAGTTACCCGGCTCGCTAGCGTAGTTAGCTAAACCGGACATCGCGGTGACCGATTGACGAACTCCTTGCGGTCCGGGTTCACGCCCGGGGATGGGCTGAAAAGCCATATTCCTCCCAGATTTACTGTACCTGTCATGGAATCCAGTCCCAAGGGTTGCGATTTCGGTAGCCAAAGGGTAACAACTCGTGGTTTTTGGGAAAGAGTGGCCCATCCGTTCTAAAATTTATGGGGGGGGGGGGGGTGATCAAGATATATGACCCCGAGGCCTTGAAGCTGCTGACAGTTACAGTCACCTACTGCCACTATGAAAGCTGACACGTCCACTGCTGTGACAGCGGTACCTGTGGCAAGGCAATTCTCCAGGCAGGGCGAAGACTGATCCAATTTCGAACCGCAGTCCGTGACTCTCACAATACCCTGTTGATTAGAAATGTTTTCAATTAATTAATCACATAGACAGAGATGTGTTTCTGATTTTTAAATCAAAAAATCACATGGACAGAGATGTGTTTCTAGTTTTTCAATCATTAAATCACATGGACAGAGATGTGTTTCTAGTTTTTCAATTAATAAATCACATAGATAGAAATGTGTTTCTAGTTTTTCAATCAATAAATCACATAGATAGAAATGTGTTTCTAGTTTTTCAATCCGTAAATCACACGGACAGAGATATGTGTCTAGTTTGTCAATCAAAGAATCACATGGATAGAGACTATTTTCCTTTTGTCTTTTGAAGACGGTGTCAATGTTTGGCATTAGTAGCATAGCACTGGTAAAAATATTGTGTTGAACTGTGTTCTTTTCGTATTCAAATTCATATTCTGGCATTTCAGAATTGGCACCATTTGTCCTAAAATTGATTGGCTTTATTGCATCCAAAGTGGATCTCTGTATTGATTCTCCCGTCTTCAGAACAAAACACTGCCGGAATATGTAAAAGCTATCTAACAACAGAACGCTGAATCGTTAGTCACAGATGTGTTCGGGGCGTTGCAGAACCAATCCTATCATTTTTCTGGATCTGATTATTTCATTAGACAATTTTACGATTAGTAATTTGCCATTGCCACTAAAACGTCGGCTGTCAATACCACTGTTGACACTAACTCTAGGTGGTCTGCTGCCCAGTCACCCGCAGCGGGGTCGAACACTGCACAACAAAAGCCAAGCAACAGCTGGTTACTAAATTATGCTTTCTTAGAATAGAACTAGTTAATTGTAAGTCCTGCTGGTACATAAAGGGTTAAACAGTATGTCAATACTGATACAGAAGTTTACCTGAGAGCAGAGGGAGGGTAATACAAGTGACTGCCCAGGGGCGTCATTATCCTAAACACGACATAAATAGTGATGGTGGTAGTGGTGATGATGATGGTAATCTTGATGACGACAACGACGAAAATAAAGATGATGATGATTATGATGATGATGATGATGATGATGATGATGATGATGACATACCGCAGAGAGGACAAGCAACAAAAATACTCACCAATGCTGCGTCGGAATACCGGAATGTCCAGAAACGAGGCTGAGGATACGGAATGGAGCCTCAGGAGCACCAGCAACACACTCACCCACAGACCTCGCTCATTAAATCTCTCATTGTTTTTCTGTGGGATAGAACGAACGAACGAACGAACGAACGAACTTTATTTTCAAAGGGTCATAAATTGGGAACGCAGGCCCGTCTTACATTCGGCCCTTCCAGTCAACCATCTTTCGCACAGCAGTTGTATTTTACTAATAAAGCATGTTATGATCATATGATGTTATGCATATTTTGAATATTATAAAAGAACACAAAAGCATGAGTTGTAAAGTGCATGCAAAAACCCGCGCGTGCATACATACACCCGCATACACACGCTCACCCACTCACTTACACACACAAACATGCATGCATACATTACATACATACATACACAGATACATATAAACAAACATGCATACACACATACACACAGACATACGTACACACAAACATACATACATAGATACAAACATACAGGCATACATACATACATTCATACATACATACGTAATACAGGCATACACACATACAGTCATAAATCCAGTCATACATGGAGATACACACATGCACACACGGACACTCCCACAGAGACACAAACACTCAGACAAAAATACAGACACACACACAGACACTTACATATAAACACACACAGGGAAACACACAGCACATATATTTACATTCGTGCTCACACACTGACACACACACCACACATACCCAGACAAACATGCAGACACATACATACAGCAACATAGACACACACGCAGTCAAACACACACACACACACAAATACAGACAAACAGGCAGACAAACACATACTGACACCCACAGAGACAAACACGCAGAAATGCATACACATACAAACACATAGAAATACACACCAGACACATATATTCAGCACGCACAGACATATACTCTGACATGCAGACACATACAGACAACAAAAGGGGAACACACAACACACACAGAGAAACACACATAGACATGCACAGACAGACAGACACATGCTGACACATACAGTCACGCAGACAGACATACAGACACCCACACACAGAGATACATACATACAGCCTCATAGACACACCCGCAGACAAAACACATAAACATACACAGGCAAACATGAAGACAAACACATACGGGGACACACACAGACACACACGAAGATATACACACAGTCACATCAAATATGCAGAAAAAGAAACCAGTTCACACTGAAACATACACGTGGACATACGCGCGAACACACACACATTCGCACATACACAAGGACACAGACGCATACATTCGCAGACACACACGCAGATACACAAGCAGACAAACAACATACTCAGAGTCATATGTATACAAACACGCCTACACATACATACATATCAAGCACACGCGCGCGCGCAAACATACATTTCATACACACCTTGTTTAATAATACATTGATAATGCAATATGGGTTACATTACATTCAATGTGGCATAGATAATAGATGAATAGATAGATAGATAGATAGATAGATAGATAGATAGATAGATAGATAGATAGATAGATATAGATAGATAGATAGATAGATAGATAGATAGATAGATAGATAGATAGATAGATAGATAGATAGATAGATAGATAGATAGATAGATAGATAGATAGATAGATAGATAGATAGATAGATAGATAGATAGATAGATAGATAGATAGATAGATAGATAGATAGATAGATAGATAGATAGATAGATAGATAGATAGATAGATAGATAGATAGATAGATAGATAGATAGATAGATAGATAGATAGATAGATAGATAGATAGATAGATAGATAGATAGATAGATAGATAGATAGATAGATATATAGATAGATAGATAGATAGATAGATCGATAGACGAATTCTGCCTTACCATGACTGTAATCTAATAGAAACAGTTCTGAACCTCAAATGGCGGACCTGCTAGTTGATCAGAACCGACAAGCCAATGAACACCGATACATATCACATACATGGCTGTTGATGATTGGTTGCCACCCAATCTGGCTTTCGACTGTGAATTATTTGTGTAAACCAGTGATTTCCAAACTTTTTTTTCCAGGTCGCGGCGCCATTTTTTTTTTTCAATTCAAAATTTTCACGGTGCCCTAACCTAAGTAAAAGTATGATTATTCGTGTCTTGGTTAACTTAATTATGAAGCTTTTACAATATTTCGCGGCGTCCTTGTGAAGAGGTCGCGGCTCCCCGGGGCGCCGCGGCGCACAGTTTGGAAATCACTGTTGTAAACAATTCATTAAAACAGTAGGTGAACATAATTTTCAAGCCTTATATTGTCAGCAACTTGCCAGAACCACCTAAGAGCGACTTTTGCAGTATTTACTAATATCTTCTGGGGGCTGCGTATTCTCGCATTTGGAACAGAACAAGCGGCCACACATTTCTTAGTCATATATCTTCTTCTTTGCGTTCACCAGCTGTGAACTCTGGTAGAAAGTTCGGGTTGTTCGTTCACTTCTGGTCTGCAGTCCTGTTCCGGAACATGAGCGTTGCGTTTGACAGACCTGACACATTTGTATGCAGACTGCTGGTTCCTTGCCTCTCAGGCAGATGCACTCCGACTTCGAAGGAAGCTCCCAATTAGTCGATTCTTACAACATGCTTTTGGGTAGGCAGTGGGTCTATTCTTGTTTTCTCTATAATCGGGCCCCTGAACTCACACAGGGGAATCATATCTGAATTCTTGAACATGGTTACTAAACTGCAAAAAGTAGTTTACGCTCCGAGTGGGTTGAAAGCATTCGGAAGTCGCAGTTAACCTCTGTCACCTGGATCTACACCCATATAAATGCAGGAATAAAATTTTATAAAAAAGCTGACCAGGTGGCAAGTAGTGCACCAATGGGAAGAAGCATTGATAGAGCAGATATCATTAAAGCTATATGGACTAGGCAATGGGACGAATATCTGACGCTAACACGGTTGCGTAACCTGGAAGCAAAGCTGGGTCAAGCATATGTATGCCCTCTTCAGGGCCAAAACAGGAAACATTATTTGTTAATAACTTTACTCGGAAACAATCAGTAGAGGTACCTTGGAGTGGTTGGTGTATCGGAGGACTGAGCACGCATGAGAATGACCAGAGTACCATGACGTCAGTTGTGATAACATAGTGTAACATAACATAACATAACAAAACATAACCTGTCGCTTCTTTCAGTCTACGTAAAGGATGTTATGTCTAAATTTCTTTCAGTTCTGGAACTGTAGTTCATTGCCATCGTCTCTCAGTTACACCCAATAATTCTTCATCATTATCATCATCATCATCATCCTAATCATCGTCATTATCATCATCATTATCATCATCATCATCATCATCATCATCATCATCATCATCATCATCATCATCATCATCATTATCATCATCATAATTATCATTATCATTATCATCATCATTATCATCATTATCATCATCATCATCATCATCATCATCATCATCATCATCATCATCATCATCATCATCATCACCATTATCATCATCATCATCATCATTATCATCATCATCATCATTATCATCATCATCATTATCATCATCATAATTATCATCATCATTATCATCATCATCATCATCATTATCATCATCATAACGTTTGCCTATAAGCGTCTTAGAAAATAACAGTTTGCGATCCTTTGCTAGATGGGCAGCCATAGCTATGGTCATTCCGTGTCGATGTGAAAGCTATTAACTCTCTTTACTCTGGTTATCTTGCTTTCAGACCTGATCTTTTCTTGTGAAGCTGCTGTGTTAATAGTTGTTGTGGTTTCATTGTAATGGATGACCAAACTTTTTGATCTTCTGTTTCCTTATGAATCTGCAGCATGATGTTGTTCCCACAAATTGTTTGCTAGTA